AAACTAAACAGTGCAAATTATGCGACAAACGGAACGATTATAAACTAACGAAGAGTCCCCGTAGCTTCATCAAAATAATAGTCCCGACCGTTAATTTCACGCCGTCCCTTGTACATAGCACCACCGTCTGAGCCGTAGTAACAGACTTTTCCCTGAGAGGAAATCGGCTTCCAGCAATTACGAAATTCTGCTCCGGTTACTTCGTCGAAATAAAACCAATGCACACCACCATCATCGCCACCGGGAAGTTGATGCTGTCCCTTGAGTATAACGCCATTCTCTCCGTAGTGGCACCATTTACCTTGTTTTGGAAACTCCTTCCAGCTATCACGTAATTCGGCCCCCGTTTCTGGATCAAAGTAGAACCAATTCAAGCCCTGATTGTAACCACCAACGAGTTGTTGCCGGCCGGTAAGCATAACGCCATCTCCTCTACGATAGTAATACCAATGTTCTTTACCGTTCACGAAAAATCCTTCACTAACCGCATGTCGTTACTTCCGTATGTTCATCCAAAAAAATACGTGCTTATCTTGGAGGCCCTGCTCATTTTTGATACCACCCACAGGTTCATGTCTACCCGTGAGCATAACACCGTCTTTATCAAAGTAGAACCAATTTTTATGCGGAAGGGAAGGGTCTACGATCGTACCGCGCAGGAAATGCCAGCCGACAAGCTTTTTGCCATCTCTGTAGTAGTAAACCTTGCCACCAACCTTAGTCCAGCCCTGCAAAACAGGTGCTGCATCCGGCGCTTTTTGGGAATCCAGTGATCTTTTGAACAACCTTTTAGGTTTGTAATGTATCGAGGCACTCGTTATTCCAAGGTCTTTACAGAAATCAGCAAACTTCCTTTCGAGATCGGGCTGTCTTGGTGTCGATGCTACTGAATCTGGTGTCAATGTTACTGAATATTCTGGAGATCCATGCAAATCATTTGTATTGTCAGTCCATACATTTTCAGCAAAAGTTGCACGCGCTTGTTCCTGGTCTGTTGGCATAGGTATTTGCGGCTTTGCTAGCTGCTTTGTCTGAGCGGCCCGCACTACCACAATAGAGTTCCCAGGTCCGATAACGAAGACTTGCGCACCAGGGTCCACAGATACGGTAACGTACGACGGCGCGGGAAGCTGCATAGACTCAGGAGCTGGTTCTGCCGGCTGCTCAAACTGAGCGTCTTGCCCTGCTAGCTGTCCTGGTTCAGCAACTGGCAGAGACTCTACTCGCTGCCAAGGCAGAATAACTTGCGTAGCTGGCTGCCAAGGCTTACCTGCTTGCATTGCTGGATACTCTGACTGAGTGGCCTGATCTGCTGGCTGCCAAGGCTTACTTG